CATAATCGCAATAATAACTTTATAATTCTTATATTGAATGTTACAAAAAGAAACAAATTAATAGAGATAATACTATATAAAATCACATATGATGCTTAATATCTATGAAATTTCGAAAAATTATAGCATTTTTTAAAAATTATTAACCTAAAATAAATATCATAGTATTAAATTTCAAGTTTATATCATAAAAATAGAAGAAATTATTATTGAATTATATTTTAGTAACTGGATTAATACTTATGTTTACATATAATTGCTTCTTATTCAAAATTATTCTTATTCAAAAATTTCTTTATTCGTTAAATGACATTAAATTATGCTAAATATAAATTTCAATCATGTATCCATAATTAAAGAAATCAAGTTTTTTTCATTTTTTTATAATATATATTATTAAATAATATTATTAAAAAACTACATATAATTAATAATGCAATTTTTAGTAAATATAATATTTGATTATTTTTCAAAATAGAATAACTTTTCGTAAAAATTTGAACCAATCAGAATTTTCTTGTTAAATTAGAATTAATTTACTAGATGATGTAAATTTTTGGAAAAATCATAAAATTAATCGAAAATATAAAAAGTTTTTTATAACTTTTTTGTAATTCTGATCCTATATGAAAAATTAAATAATGTTTTATAAATTTATATCAATTATATACATGCTGAAAATTAAGAAAAATTTTCATCGAAATCAATTGATATAAAAGCAAATGAACAAATATCGAAAAATGAGTAATCAAATTTTCTATTATCTAAAGTTTGTAGTTTTAATATATATATTAAAAATTTCTTTATTAAATAAAGCAAAAATTTGTAACGAAATCAATTTATTTTACTTTCATTAAATTGAATATTAATAGTTATTTTTTTTATCAATAATTTTGCACTTATTTTTAGAATAAAATATTAATTCCTTTTAAAAATTTATTTTTTAGAAATCTTTAATTCATTTTATTGAAATAAAAATTAATGAATATTTCTTTTGTATAATAAAATTAAAATGAAATATAATAACTTAAAATTATATATATAACAAACATTACATATCAAATTTTTAATTAAATAATATTAAATTAAAGGATGATATTTTTTTTACATTTACTAATAATTCAGGAATGACATTGCATTATAGATCTTATAATTTAAGTATTTTCATTGAAAATTGATTAGTAATAGTAATTTTTGTATTGGCGTACATTATTCCATCTAAATGATAATATCGTACACCTAAATTTCCACATTAACGGTGGATATATAATTAACATTTACTCACAACCAGCTGATGATTTGTGATCAATATTATTCTACTTAATTTAAAAGAACATTATCCCATACTACGATTTTACAATTATTATATGATTTCATTCGTTAACAAGCGCACACATTCATGTATAAATTTTATGTCGAGTTATAATTTGTAATATTTATTTTAAACGCATGGACAATATATGAATTTTTAAGTTAATAACTGTTAAAAATATGCATTAAATATTTTATTTGATTAATGATTAATAATTAATTTATATTGCAATATTTAACATTTATTTAATACAATTTAATTTATTACAATTTTTAACAGTTACTGATTAATTTTAGAATTAATTGCGATATTTAATAAATTTTAATTCCATTATTATTGAAGAATAAGAAACTAATTAATTAATAAATAAATAAAAATTTTTTCTTATATTAATTAATAATATTGAATAATTCATCAAATAAAATACATTTTTAAAATACATTGATTATATAAATAATTATATATAAACAATAATATATATAATATAAATTATTATATATTATTTACATATTAGTTCATTTTAACAAAATTTTTTTATTAAAAACTATTATGCTGCTTCATAATTAAAAATTTTTTCGTGTCGTAAGCTTTATGTAAAGTTATAAATTTCTTTTAACTTTTTCAATAATCTTAAGTGAGATCAGAAGTTGAATATAATTTATTAATTTATAAATTATTTTCACAATTTTATAAATTAAAATTATAATTTTTTTAATAAAATTATAAATAATATAGTTATAATTTTTAGTTAATCAAAATAATGATATAGAATTAAATTATGTTATAATTCTTATAAATCAAAATTACTTTTTTATCGATTTCAGTTCCACAATCTATTCGTTTATATTGATATTTTTTAATTCTGAAATGATTCTATATCAATCCAATAATAATATGAAATATACTGAATCGACTTAAAAATAATAATCAATTCTTGAATTTTTTTACACAATATTTGTGATAATTTTCATCTTTTCATAAAAATTGAAACTTTCTAAATCTAAAACAATTCTTAAAAAATAATTAAATAACTCAACGATTTAAAAAGAATATAATATAATAAATGTGTAACATAGTTTTTTGAAAACACATAAATGTAGGCTACAGCCTATAATGTAGGCTCAATATTAATATGATTTTCATAGAACGATTCAAATTTAATATAGAATAAAACATATACTATTATTATATATACTCCCTTAAATTTTACATCTTTTTTTAAAAAATATTTTTTTCTATTATTCATATTTTTCGAGATATTTTGTTTACAGATAAATATGCGTTGTATAGTGATCTATAAAAGCATGTCTATATTTTAAAAACACAAAACAAAAATACTAAAAAAAACAGTAATTGTAAATTGTAAATTAATATAATTTAATTAAGTTAATATAGTTTGTAATTATATTTTATTGTAAATAAATTGCATATCAAAAATATTGAAAAAGATCATATGAATATATGTATACATGTTTGAGATTATGAAGAATGTATATGCGAATAACGATTAAGTAAACATAGAATTTAATATTAAAGGGTGTTAAATTATGTGTTATTATATGTTGAAACATACAACGAAGAAATTGAACATTTAATATTTTTAATTATCAATTATTCGAAAATTATATGTACCAATTAAATAATTCTGCATATATATACAAAATATAAATAAAAGAATGATATATGTTCATATGAATGATATAATAATAATATAAATAAAAAAAAGAAATAAGTATAATATAATAACATATAACAAATATATATAAAATATATATAACAAATAAATAATTAATGAATATTTAGTTAGTAATAAAGTAAAAATTATTATTTGTTACATAATTTTTATTTTTATAAATAAATAAAATATATGATATAATAATAATAGTTTAATTCGCATTTCTATATCATATATGGTATGTGATTATATTTTAATAATTTATGTTATTCATATAATTAATTCATATAATATATAACGATATATAGTATAAATATCGTTTCAGAACCAAAAATAATTAACAAATTGGAATTATTACTAAAATTGAAAAAGATCAGTTTTTACAATTATAATATCATTTTCGTTCTTCATAAATATTTCTGTCAGAGTCTTTATACAATATTATTAATATTATATTTACAATCATTTCAAATGATTTTTTAAAATTTTTAACCGTGATGGTAATTATTCATAAAAACTCGATTAATTTATTTTGAAATGATAATTGAATTTTAATAAATATTTGAAAGTGGATTTCTTTCATATCTATTCAAATAATTGATATTTCATATGGTATTATATTCTGTATTTGAAATTAATAATTTTTTATTTTGACAGAGTATATATATCTCATTATGCTAATTATATTATATTATATTATATTATATTATATTATATATTATATTATATAATTATTAAAAGCTCAATTTTTAATAAAAAGACACTGAATAGTTAATTAATTAGTTAATTAAATGTAGTTAATTTAATGTAGAATCGCAAAATAAAATTTTATTCCTTAAGTTCTATACCTTATTATTATTAATTATTATTAATTTTCATTTATCACACTTTCCTAATTTATGAAATGCTTATGAAATGGTAATATTTAATAAAAACACAATATTACAAAATATTCAATATTAATAGAAACATTTGGAGTACTAGCCTTTTTTATTTATTTATTTTTTTCTAGCTTTTCTTAGAGATATCATAAAAATAAATTTGTTTTGTAATCTTGTTTTACTTTCATATTTAAAACAGAATTTGTAATAAAAGAGTGCATTTTAAAGTATTTTAAAGAGATGACATTTTTATAGAGAATTTAAGAGCATTTAAAAAGAACTTTTAAACTTCAACAAAGACTTATATATTTGATCATTTCTATTTTCTCAATATTATATATAAATGTTTAATTCTGTATTTGTTTATATAATATATATAAAACATTGAATACTTTGTAGAAAAATGAATAAATTCATTGTATAAAGAATGAATAGATATTAATTGTAATTAAATCGTGAGTTAAAATATTATTATTATATATTGTGTATTAATAAATAGATTATATAATATTATAATCTAGTATTATAATCTTTAATTATATAATATTAAATTTATTATAAAAATAATTGAATAATTATAAGTTTAATATATTTTTTTATTCTAGCAATTATTCGAAAAATTATTACATAAAACTATATATATAATAAAATATTTTGATAAAGAAATATGCAAAATATCTATAATTTTATTATATTAATATTTTTTTACATTTATTTACTTTTATATATATTTATAGACAAAATATTTCACGTGTTAATAATGCATTATTTTTTCGAATAAACTTAAAATTTTTGATAAATATTTAGTAAAGGAAATAAATAAATCTAATAATTTTGATATATATCAGACTTATTTTAGTAATTTAAAAAAATTTTTTAAAAAAATTAATTATTAGAAATGAAACACGAAGAGAATTTTATTTAAAAATTTAATAACTTGATTAATTGTTTAATGAAACATTTGTATAAAATTTCAACATTAAAGAGCTTTGTCCACATATTGTATAAATATAATATATTTCGTTATAATAATATATTTATTATAACTAATATTTATAAAAAATAAAATATCTTTTTAATAAATATTTTATTCCTTTAATATACTGCTATATATACATATATTCATGACTAGTATGTATATATAAAATAATATTAATAATCTCAAAATATCCTCATAGAAATATTTACATACATTTTTTATATATTTTGAGAACAATTGAGTTTGTTAAATAAAAATTTATTTGTACTATAATTAAAATTAAAATTAAATATGTTCCATTTTGATATATTATAAGTATGTTATTAAAAATAAGCATCATGTTCTTCAAACATTTTGTTTAATAATTTTATACAAATAATAAACAAAATCTCTTGGAGAATAAAAAAAGATAATAAAAGATTAAAAAGAGAAACAAGATATATCAAAATCAAAATCATTAAAATTATTTCTCTATATAAATAATTATCAAATTCTGTTCATGTAACGTTTGTAACATCGATATTTTTATATTCTAATTATTTTGTTTCTCATTTTCTTAATTGTTACAAATTGTTTTCCATTTATATATATCTTGATAACTTATATTCGTAAAAAATTTTCAATAGAGTGAAAATCTGCACAAATGGATTGTATTAATTAAATATTTTTTCTTTCAAACCATTCTTTTTTAATAATTTTGAATTATAAAAAGATATCGTGATGAAAAACATTATATACATATAATAAATAGAAACTAATCATACTCTTCTCATTCTCTTTAAAATTTTAATTAAAAATTTCATATTTGTGGATTAATTACTCAAAGAAAAAAATATATTGATTTTATTCATTTTTTTTCATAATAAATTTAATATTATATCTACAATTAAGATCTGTTCATTTTTTACGAATTATTCAATGTTACAGAAAAACGATACGTAGAAATATAAAAATTTTATTATAGAAAAAATTTATCTTACAATACTGAATTTTCTATTTTATATATTTGTGAAAAGAAATTCATTTTAATTAAGTTTAATTAAATTCATTTTAATTATTAATAATAATCAATATTATTATTAATAATTACTTTTTTCAAATAAAAAATTAACAAAAATGAAAATAATAGAAGATTTATTAATTTTATATAAAATGTACGCATAATGTACATTCTTCTATATCAGTTAATTTTTATCCAAAACATTTTTAAAGCAAAAAATTGTAAAAAAAAAAATTGTTCCTTAACGGAAATTAAAAACATAATTATTAAAAACTTATTATTCGCATAATAATAAACATTGTAAATATTGATATTAAAAAATTATATACCTATTTTCTAATAATAAAAATGGAGAAACAAGATTTTCTTTTTCAATATAACAAACTGTGTACTTTTCAAATTACTCCTTTTTTATTTTTTAATAGTTTATTCTTCATAAAGTTCATTTTTTTAAAAAAAATTTATTTTCTAAATATTTTTTCTTTTAATTAATTTGTATGAGAATATAAATTATATATATTATATCTAAAATTTTATACATTGTTATTTTTATAAAGGTAATTTGTTATTTTTAAAATAAAACATAATTATTTTTATAAATGTAGCAAAACAAATTACTAAGAATTATTTTACGTTATATCAATTATTTTTTGACCTCGATGTTGGGAATTTTTTTTCAAATTAAAACATAATTTTCAATTGAAAGAATAATTTTGTAAACAAAAAAAAAATATATTAAAAAAGTTAGATTGGAAAAAATTATTTCGATATTTCTGGAAAAAATTATTATAAAAATATTAATATAATATCTAGATTGAAACAAAAAAGAACAACTCGATTTGATAAATAATATTTATAAATAAAAATTTATAAATATCTATAGATATTTTTTATAAAAATCAATAAAAATAATCAATAAATTCCAAATTTTGTATTTTTTTAAATGTTAAAAAATTACTAATTAAAAAAAAAATTAAAATACTAAATTTAAATTCAATGAAATGATATCCTCCAATTTCATATGATTTATATCATATTTTAATTTCAAAAAAATCTTGAGAAGTCATTGATTTGGTATAAAATGATTCTTAAGATTCAATATCCTAAAGTGATTACTTATTATAATGACTATAGTAAAAATCATTAATATTTCTAATTTTATATATTTAATTTATTTATATTTAACATTTCTATTTTAAATAATAATTATGTTTAAAATAATCATTTTAAATATTTATAAATTAAATTATTTTTAAGATTTTTGTTAAATAAATAATATCAAATAAAAGATAATTTTAAATAAAAATAAACGTAGAATAGAATGTATTTTTAATTAATTTATAACATATAATAGTAATTAATATTTATTAATTATTTATATAATTATGATAAAAATATATTTTCATATTGAATATAAAGTTTTAAATTTAATAAAAATTATAATTTTTTTATAATTTTTTTCTTTTTTTAGTATTAATATATTATGTATATTTTATATTTTTAGAATATAATTATATATTATATTAATTATATAGTTAAAAAATATTTTATTTTCTTAATATATTCAAGAACAAAATGAAGAACAGAATAACATTATAAAATAATTCAATTTTACTATTGTTTTTTAGATAAATTTTCTAATAATAATTATATATAATAAATAAATAAGTAAATATATATATATATATATTATTTTTCGTACATAATATTTATCATAACAAATGAATATATATATAAATATAATACATAAATATATTGTATATTATAATCATAATAATAATGATCAATGCATTAAATACTTTATTCTTTTATTTCAATGTTAAAGCAGGATTATAGTTATCTATATAAAAATATAATAATAATGTCTAAAACATTAATTTATAATGTGAAATATAATCAGATTAAATATTTATATTAATATTAATATAATTAAGTATTTATAAAATACATAAATCGTTTAAAAAATTAAAGTTAAAAACTTAAGTTAATAAAAATTTAAAGTTTAAGTTATTTTGTTATTAAACATAAGAAAATTACATATTTGTAAAGTATTTAATATATTATTTAAAAAATAATTAATTAATATATTAAATTAACATTGAACACGTATGATTTCATAAATATTATTTGAATATATAATACATATGTATGCATATCATATATACATATGATTGATAATATCGTACTAGTATTTATGCATACAAGTTTTGATTATTTTGAAACTTTTGGCAGCCAACTCTCATCGGATCAAGTAATAATCTTCTCAAATATTCACTGTTAGTAACAACCATTTGATTATAATTTTATTTTAAATTATTTGTTTTTATATTAAATATTATATTTAAATGAAATCTATATCAATGTATCTATTTGTAATTCTTAATTGGTATAGTGAACTTATATCAAATAAGTCAGTAACTTAAAAGTAACTTAAATTTTTATTCTTTTTTAATAAAATAGAATAGAAATAAAAACTTATAAGTTATTATTTATTATAATTATTTATTATAATTTGTTATATTTATTATAATTATTTATTATAACATTGGCCTTTGAATTTAATATGAATTACGATAAATATAGAGAATTGTACTAATAGTTCTTGTATTATTTAAAAATAAAAAATCAATTCTGTTTAATCAATTTAATGATTTTTTTCGTTATTAAACTTTCAAAATGTAAAAATTATTAAATTTTCATAGAAATTAATAAATATTAATTAGATATCAAAAACAATATACATATAAGTATAATAGATTCTTGATAATTGAAAACTCATTCTCTGAAATCTCTATTGTGTTTTCTACTGATACAATATATTTTGTAATATAACCCATATAATATTTATTTATATTATATGGGTCACATATATTACATTATTAAAATTATCGAAGTAAATTACGTTATTAATTATAAGAAAATGTAAAATTATTAAGAAATTGAACAAGATCGAATACAATATTAGTAAAAGAAATTATTGATTAATAAAATTATAAAAAATAAAGAATAATCAATTGAAATTTATTTAGCAAAATATTGATTACTATAGTATTATTTGAAAAAATTTTAAAGATAACGATTTGCTACATACTTTTTGCTGTTATTAAATCATAAGATTATTTTATTTATTATATTTATTTTATTTATTATATTATTTTGTTTATTTTATTTATTATAAAATGCACGAAATTATAATGTATTTATTTTTCTATTTTTATAATCGATGTTTTATTATGTTAAAAATTTCGAGTTATATATTATATCATAGAATATTATACGAGTTGTTAAATATATTTTATATATTATTAAAAAAAATCAAATCTAAAGACAAAATTATTTAATTTAACACAAACTTAAATTGTTTATTATTTAATAAAAAAATAAACATTATTTGATAAACTAGTTTTTATTTTTGTTTGTTTCTAGAAAATCCATCCACAAATATATTAATATTTTAAATATTTCATAAAATATTTTATAAAAAATTTTGAATTTCATAAAAATAATAATGTAAATTTAAATGTTATTTTATAATACAATCTATTTCTGAATGAATGATAAATAACAAAAAATTAATTTTTCAATCCAAATGAGAATTATACCAATATAATGTTTGTATTATTGAGCAGAATTTTTATAATTTTATTATTATAAATAAAAGTTGTTTTTATTTATATGATATATTAGTATAATAATTTAAAGAATTTATGAATTTTTTATTTTAATAATATCATTTAAAAAAAAAACATTATTTTATTATGTAACATTTATGATCTATTTATATTTCATAATTTATTGAATACAATACAATAATTTCATAAATACAACAATAGTTATTTAATTCTATCTAACTATTTAATACAATATAGTACAAAGTCGATATACATATCGAGAAGAAAACGAAATGTTTTTGAATAACGAAGCTGATATGTATTGAATAGTATTTGAGCGATCTCTCATGATGTAATAACATAAAATGGTGAACTTAAGTAAAAATTTTAAAATGGAAATAAGCAGAAAAAGAATGAAAAAAAATGTTGTCACTGAAGAATTGTAATAATTATTTAATTAATTTAATTAAAACACATTAATATATATATATATTGAACATATTAATATATATGTGCGCGCGCATACGTGGACACATAAATATGCTTATTATATTTATAAAGAAAGATTTAGGTGAAAGATATACATATATATATTTCTAATATGTATACATATGAAAAATATAAATTTATAGTATGAGAATTATTTGCAAATACAAATTGGATTAATTTGTGCAAATTTACAAATTATAGACAAATTATAATAAAGGATGTAAATTTGTACTTAAAATTATTTGCGAATTAACTATTAAAAATTACTATTTATTTTGTTTTCAAAATAAAAATTATTTGATATTATACTAAAAATTCTATTTAAAAATGAATCTAAATGGTAAAATAAAATAATAAAAAAAAAAAAGAAATAAATAATGTAAGATAACTGTAATAGATTCAGTATATTATAAATATCTATATCTTCTATATATATTTTATAGTCTTGATCAATAATTAGAATCATTTAAAATTTGCAACATTCTTAATCTTTTTATTTATTATTATTATTTTTTTATAAGGAACTTTAATAAAAAAGTTTATTATTATTCTTATTCTTATTTTTCTTTTTCTATTATTATTATTATTATTAAGATATATAATATAAATTTAAAGTTTTGCAACTTGTATCTTTATGCAATAAAAATTTTAATAATGGAAATATTTAGATATCAACGGAAAATAAATTTATTATTATTATATATTGATTTTAATTAAATTTTTAATAATATACTTAATAATTTACTATATCTTTCTTTTGATTTAATTCAGAATTACAGTGAGATTAAAAAATCAATATATTTCTAGCATTTAAAAATTAATCAATGATTTAAAAGAATAATAACAAATTAATTATTGTATATTTACATCTATAAAGTTTGAGCAATAAAGGACAATTTTCCATTTATGGCGTAAGACTTTAGTTAGTTAGAAAATTTTTTCTATTTATTATATATAACGGTTATTTAATAATTAATAATTTCAATAAGTGGAGAATTTGATTTTTCTTAAACTTTACTAGATTTGTAGGAAAAAATTTGTAATCAAGAGAAAGTAATTCAAAGTGCAATATAATATATATATATATATTTTTTGCATTTATACTACATATTTTTCAATGTAACAGAAAATTCGAAATTTTTATTATAATAGTAATATAGAATTTTTTGAACAAAAAATTTTTATTATTTTAATAATATTATCTTATAAAACATAAGAAATCATTATAATCAATTTTTATTCTTACTATTTTTTAATATTTACCTATTATTACTTTAAAGATGTAAAATGAATTTTCATTCAAGATTTTTACTTTTAAAAATTAGAAAAAAAATAGATAAATATCATACAATATATTTTAAGTTTTCTTACAAATCTATAAAGTTTAAAAAATCAGAATTTTCGAGTTTTTTTGATATTCTCTTATAATATAGTCTGAAAATGTTTTTCTATGCGGCTATTCGACTTATAAATTGATACATTTTAGAAAATCTGAGATAAAGTCTAAAGTTTTTTAAAGTTTTCATAGTTGCTTATTTCAAAAACAGACACATTTTTTTTAAATTTTTATTTTATTTTAATAATTAATTTATTAATTATAATAAGTTTTTGGAAATATAGGTACATATAGATTGTCTTTGATGAAGAAAGTTATTGAAGAAATAAATTATATTTCATTTGTCACGATTTTTTAATGTTTTAAAATATCTAGGAATTTAATTATATATAGATATAAAGCTCTTTGATATAGTTTTTTTAACGCGAAATATATTCTCGAATATAAAACATGAAATATTGTGGAACAAGGGAATTAATAATATATTAATTGATAATGATATGCTTCGTAAAGTTATCGAAATTTGCATTAACTTGTACAAGTACTTTGATTTTAATTTATTTTTGTTTTCTTTCTTTGTTCAGAAATGTATTCAAATAGAAATTCTATTTCTCTTTCTCTCATTCATTCACTCATTCATTCTTTCTTTTCCTTTTTCAATTTCCGTAAAAGCCCTTATTGTTATTGTAGTGAATAAAATCACATATGAACACAAGTTTTGAAGTTAATTAGTATCTTTTTTCTTAAAAGTAATAATATATAATTGTTATGCTTTTTTATATTATAATTAAGTATATTAATTAAAATTAATAATGAAATCAAAATTTTATATTCAGGTACTCTATTTGTAACTTGTAAATATAGTTTATATTTAAGATATATAAATGAGAATAGAATAATTTTCGATTATTGCACACAAATAATTCTTATCTATTAACCTAATTAAAATAAATGATCAACATATGTAATACAATCTGTAAATTTCAATATGATCTGTAATTTTATTATATATCAAATTTATTTAGCATTTTTTACCAATTAAATTATGAAGAATATAAGATTTTTATAGAAATTTTAATGATTTTAAATATATAATATTATTTGAAAAATTTTTATAAGAGGATAAAAATTCATTTTATCATGTATAAACTTAATATCAATATTACACAAAACATAATGTTTGATATTTAATTTATTAATTTATTAAATTAGGTGTGAATTTTCATAAAGAAATAAATAAAAAGTAGACAAAACTTTTTCATTTAAAATATACCAAGTACGTAATTCTTAATTAAAGACTCAATACTTACGTATCACTTATTACTCATACTATTTATAAGCATAACTAACATTATAATTTTATATTATTCATCTAATTTATCATGTTAATGAATCAAATCTCAATATCAAATGTCTTATCAATTTTAGTTTTACTAGAATCAAGTACACGCTTACATAACACATTTCTAAATACGAATAATAATTTAAATTTTCTCGACAACGAAGATATATAAAAAAATTTTTACTGACTATTTTTATTCATTTTTTTAAGTAAAATCACACCTTGTTTGATAGAATTACCCTTTGTAAATACTTTGTATATTTTTTTTCATATTATGATTCCTATTCACAAATAAATTGCAATAAATTAAAAAATTTTTTTATCTTTCAATTATTAGTAAATATCATATATTTTCTTATTTCAATTGTGTCAATTCTTATGTCAATTATAGATTTTAAAAATAACGATTCTGTTTGTGCACTTCATCATAATACGTTATAGACAAATATAATCAATAATTTTCTATTTTTCGAGCATGTATTTGTTATTGACGGAAATATCCGTTATAATAAAATTTCATGCATTGTTTGCGAATCACGCAGATTATAGTCCATTCGACTTTTAACAACATCTATGAGCGATACGCTTCATATTTACAATAACTACTATTTTTCCATCACAGATATCTATACGATGTAAAATTACAATTCAGGGAAGCTATGATCAACAGAAGAAACATAGCAAGTTAAAAATTTACAATGTGTATTGAAAAGTGGCTCGCTAAAATGTCCAATTGATTTTTCATTCGCATTGGCAAGGAATATGTCAGAACGTATATTTAACATGATGCATATACTATATTTTATTTTTCATATTATTCAATGAAGTAGAATTAATAGAGGAAAGAAATAGATATAATTTCACGACAAACAATATGATAATAAAAATATAATTTTGAAATATCAAATTTTAAATATTGAATATAAATGTAATAGAGAAAATAACATCATGATAAAACGTTAAATTTTGATTGAAAAAAATATAATAATACTATTTTAAAATATTTTTTGATAATTAAATATGCAAAAAGAAGTATGCATTATTTTATTTTAGTTGATTGGAACTTATCACTAATATTATTATATTTAAATAGAGAAAAATGTATAAGAGAGGAATATTATTTTATAATATATCTTTAACTTTAATTATCTTTATGTAAAGAACATTTTTTTCTTATTCTATTTTTCATGTATTATATATATATATTTTTCAACTTGATAAATATAATATTTTTCAACCTTTTAGCATTAAATTCGTCATTTTCTTCAGACATTTAACTCGAATAAATACTTTTTCTCCTTTATTTTTAACAGAATAATTTGCAAGACTCAAACTTTTGTTTTTATTTAAATAAATAAAACAACAAAATAAAATAATTTAACGATGTATAAATTAATCTAATTTGATAAATAATTTCTTTACTTCAACGATATATATATGACTATTAATTTCCTCTACATTCGATATAATGATTTTAATGAAATAATTATTGAATAATAACATTATAAATATCGTCAATGACAGAACAAATGTTTTTGTATTACATTTAAATACATCTTTATTGATATGCGCATTTTCAATATTATAAATTCCTCATTAAATGAAATTTAGGAATATATAAGTTAGTGATCGTAATTTTTTATTGTTACCAAAAAACTTTTACTGAAGAAAAAATATGACATAGCATATAGCATATGATAAAGTATATACAATATAAGTTTCCTCTCTTAACAAAACTTTTTAAATTTCCTTATGAATTATAATAATAATAATAAATAAGTAAATTTAAAAAATCTATATTTAAGAACATATATCATTGTTGTCTTAATTTTATTAAAAATAATAATTTTTTATAAAATACATTACTGTTTTCGATTTCAATATTTTATAAATATATTATAAAAATCAACATTTAGAACAACTTTTTTTTGTTCATATCTAATCACTTGATTTTAATTTTTGACTTATTTACAAAATTTTCGATATTAAATTGAATATAAAAATGTATTCTTCACATCGATAATAAAATATGAAACAATCATTAAATGATAGGAAATATGACCGAAATTATTTATGAGCAAATAAAAATGATATCAATCTCTTTATCATTATAATAACTTCAGTCATTGTAATTTAAGTATTGTTATATAAATATTATTATTTTTATATTTTATAACGAATCTAAAAGAATAAATACAATGACATTAGTTCACCTATTATATGTTAATTGCTTTGATATTTTTATATAAACAATTTGTTGCATATTGACATATATATTCTATGGATTTATATAATGTAATAATATCGAATTTTTTTGCAAATAATTCGAAAATTAAAATCGAACGGTGATTATACGTATAAGATATTTAAAATATTAATTTTTACAATATACTTAATAATCATTGAAATCGAAAAACACTGTTTTTTTAAATAATTATTAAATCCAATAAATATAATAAACAATAAAAATAGAAAAATATATACTAAAAAAAAAATATATACTAAAAATTAGATTAGATTAGGAGTCGATCGAAGGTTTTAAGTCGTTACTATATTGATTGTCAAGTACAATCTTCGATCTTTGCTGCTAATCTTCATTATCTAATTTTTTTTTTTTTATTATTATTAATATCCATCTGAACATTTTGAAGAATAATACTGTTCGATTGAACGTTAATTAAAAATCAGTGATCAAAATCTCTTCAATTTCAACTATTTTATCAACTATCTACACCCCGTCAAAAAATGGCTCATTAAAGATGTTATCAACAGCGTCCATCTATTTATTTAACGTCGTCTCTCGACGAAGTATAACACATTTTGACAACAGTGATCACAATACGAGATGAGACATGAAAAATCAAATAGAAAATATGGTGGTAACATCTATTTGTTCATATATATAGTTTATCAGAATGATCCAGCGCGCTATTAAAAATTAACAAAATTTTGATTATGCCTCTTATTGTAAATATATAGTTTATATAATCAATATATTTACGAATTTTTGTTAAATTACGATGAAATGTAATTTAATAATAGCATCTTTCACAGATTCAACGTAAAGACACATTGAAATTCACGAATCGAAATATAGGAAAAATGGACGTTATTGTGACGACGAGCGAGAGTGGACGGGGTTCAAGATACATTGGCTTGTGTCCGACATAAAACGATGTCGCGACGCTCACTCGTATTATTTGCAGGAAATAATGGACATCTATTTTTAAAAAAACTCGGGAAATATCTGAATACGTTTGTTGTTTGGCTCTGGATCATAATAATTTCCACGGAACATTTAGTTCTCCATCCTTTTCTCATGTTGAGAAACAAGATATTCGTAAAGATATAAGATTCGTATAATTTATAAATTATTCAATGTTTCCATTCAATTCAATTTTTTTTTCAATTAACGATCATTAAATTTGCATACTTTTTACAGAAACTTAATCCTTTTCAGGAACATTTAAGTCTGTAAATGCTTTCCTTAATCACTATTGAGATTCAATGTTTCAATATTATGAATCTTTCTTTCTCTTCTTTTTTTTTTTTTTTTTAATTTTCTTATTATCTAGAAAATAATAGCTTGAGAATAAGACAAGAATAATTAGGTATGTATTAATAATTGAAGTAGCTCGGTACTCAAATTCATTTTGTGGATGTGTGGCTCACAGAGGGTGGCAGATTAATTAAGGTTGAACTACTTAACCTGGATGTTCTTGGTTCAATTTCCAAAGACATGCGATATAGATCCTTCTCGTTCAACAACAATGATGGATCCAGCAAGTAATTCGTTACTTTAGTTATCAATTCAATTTTGTATGGCGTTTGTTGAAAATGTCGTATTTCTCGAATCACGTGGGCGATCTAGAAGTAAATTAAATAATTTGCTTAAAATTCTTACACGTGAAATTGAGAAATAAATTTAAAATAATAATTGCAATAACAAGATTAATTAAAATAATTGCAATTACAATTATTCGTCTTTAATTTATTATTTACAATATTTCACGCAGTATTTCGATACAAAAATAATGATAAGATTTATTTTTTATGTAGAAGGAGATAAAGAGAAAGGAAGCAATTTAAATGGGAATATTAAAAGATTTATATTATGCTCATATTTATATTAATAACTTATTTACCATTCGCATTTTAGAAAAATTTAAAAGGCCTTCTTCGGTCATGGTTGGTGTACCCTCTTCTATGAAAGAAAGATCGGTTAAATATAATCCTAAATAAGGAATGCAAGGTGGGTCGCATCGATGTAAAGCATCTCGTAGATTTCTAAAACGTCCATCAGAAGAAACAATGTTTTGTAATCTTTCAATTGTTTGCTTTGTCTGCAAATCAATAAAAAAAATTATTATTAATAATTTGATTCTCTTTATTTGTAGATATTTATTTTGTTATCTTGTCGTCACTTAATGACAATAATTTCTTATTTGTAAATTTTAGGTGATTTACATGGTTAAATTTTTATTTTAATTAAATTATTTACCGTTTTTGAAACTTTCTCCCATGTCTTTTTCAATCTGAAAACACTGCTATTCGTGAAAGCTGCACAAATCTGTAATACGCCATTATAATTATGCAAGACTCTACTAATGTCTGCAACTGCAGCCCATTTTTCAATCGCTGCAACCCGTGCTGCCATATTTGAACGGCGAATAATCTCTGAAACAACTAACTGCGACACTTCATTGAATCTTTTTGTCATTAAAAGAATGTGAGGAGCACGTGTAGCCTTATCAACTTTCATCCATGCTTGCCCAAGGAATTCTCTGCGCAAAAATTATAAAAATATAAAATTAAAACTTTTTCCTATAGCAATAATTTTGTATGTTATCTTTTTATTATATAAATGATATATAATTTTCAAATGGAAGAATTCTTGCTTTATTTTAATTACTTACTCGCTTGAAATAGATATAAAAATCTTGTGATCCAGGTATGTCATTTGTTCTGCGATTTCAAGCGCGGATAATGTCTCGATATTCTCTTTAGTTTGCACCTATAAATACATATATATTTCTTTGAAGTATAAATCAAGATAATGATTAAAATATTAGAAAAATAATAAAAATAGTCCATAAATATAATATTCTATGAGATAAATATGACTAATGATTAGCTATTAATTCTAATACTGGGTCAAATATTAATTATTATTAAATATATTAAGTTACATGTATAAAATAGGCATAATATTTTAACTAACTTAGCTAAATTTTATATTTTCAAAATTATTTCGATAAATATTTTATTTAAAACATTTTAAAAAATTATTTGAATTCTTAAGTCTACCAGTCTAATTTAGAATAATTATCATAAATTATTGATATTTTTGTGTACGTACAATTGGAGAAGCTAACAATTTCTTGAGGTCTACTTTGCTACTTTCTGGCTCTTCCTTCGTAATTAATCTAAGAAGCTGGCTTGCGGCTTTATGTTCAGCTGGGAGAAGATTAGGGCAGTAAATGATATCTTCCAGGAACTCGATCGTTAGATTTTTCAACTTCTGATCAGATTCAAAATCTTGAGCATGTTTCGAGACCCAATGCCTCAACACGTTTAATACTCGCATCGTGGCTGCAGTTGACATAACTGATTCCTTTCGTCTGTTTTTTTCTCGACACGAACCACTACGATTATTCCTTCGATGCCCTTATCTGGAGGATTGCTCGATGCAGATGTTGCAATTGCAAATGCAGTTGCAGCAGTCGAAGTACTACTCCTAATGTAGAATTTCAAATATTAACATCAATCATTTTTCGTACGTATTATAAATATATTTAAAAATATATTTAATAAAAAAATTCTCTTAAATTCTCTTTCCATCATAAATATTTTTTTAGAAATTTAATTTTTTTAGAAATGAGAAATTTATGTTATAGTATTATATTATTTTGTTATTTAAAAATGATATATTTAAATTTTATTTATGTTAATATATCAATATGTATTATATGCAATAACAATATATAATTATTAATAACATTATTATATTGTGTATGATATATTGTATATATACATGATAATGTAAGATATAATAACTTATTATATATTTATATATTTATTTGAATATATAAAAATTATTTTTTTATTTTACTTCTAGTTAAATATGTCTTTAATGATTATTGATTTTTGAATTAAATCTATTTTATTTTAATATAATGAAATATTTTCAGTTGAATATTTTGTATATTTTTTTGTTATTAAAACTTACTATTGTAATAACAAAAGTTTCGTTGTTTAGATTATTAATTTTTATGGAAATTTTTATTTCTAATCTATTTTCGTTGTATGATAATTTAATAATGAATGATATAAAATGTTTTATTAATATATTACAATAAAAGTTAATGAATGTATCATATATCTGTATATTTAGTTTCTATAATTTCAAATTTAAAAAAAAATGATTCTAAATAAATATTGATTATGTAATATTCAAATAATATTTTCATACTTTTCAATATTGCTTTTAATTAATTAAATGTTTAATTAAATCTAATAATATAATATAATATTATAATATATACTCTAATAATAATATTGTACTTAAATTGATTTGATAAGTAAACTTGTAATTGAATAATTTTTTATTTATATTATAATACGACATAAAATATAAATACTCAAATATTAAAATGCTTACAATTTCATAATAAGCTTTTTCATTGATTTCTTAAAAGATTATAAATTATATTTTCAAATTTTCAATTTTTAAATTATTTAATTGTAATTGAATTATAATATCATTATAAAATGAAAAAAGTATTAAATACTTGATATTCCTTCTTCCTTTTATAATTTTATAACGTCTAACATATTAGATACAGTGAACATCTAAGCAAGTAAAATAATAAAAGAACATGTAATTCTTTCTTTATTATCTACAAACTACCCAGCATATCATTAAAAAATAAATTCTACTTTATTTTTTTTCTACTAATCATTCGTAATATGCTGAATTAAAATTTTTTTTAAAATTATATTATATTTCTACTTGTAATTATTTTTTTGGTTCACTTAAATATACAGAATAAAATAGAAAATATTGTATTAAAAATAGCTCATAAAAGTATTTGAACACTATCTTACAAAGAAATTCATGTAATCCAAAAATTCTTTAAATTTGAATAAAAGAATATGTATATTATATATAAAGCATAATAAATTACACATGAAATATAATCTTTTTGTTAATTGGAAATTTCTTTGAAAGAGTAAAATTAACTGAAATTTCAGCATGATTTTTGAAATATAATTATACTTGAGAATTTTTTTTCACAACAGAATAAAAAAGTACTAAATTGTAAAAATTTAAAATTTTGTTATATTTCGTAGCATATACTTCGTAGTTATATTTATCTATTAAAATTTAATATCAATTTCGTCAATTTAAAGTGATTTTGGTAAAAAAAATACTCCATGTACAAGATCTATGTTTTATAGAGGATATATCTTTGGTAAATCAATTCTAGAAGTCAATACAAACATAAAAGTTGCTAAGACTTAATTAGAATAAAAGTGTTGATTAAAGCTTAGTTATTAAGTTAGAATTTAAGTTTGCATTAATAGATCGAAATGAAAACAAAAATGATGGATTAATGGAGATAAAGCTCTGTTTCACTCTTTTTGTATTACTTAATAAAATTTAAATTACTTTATTTATTAAACTAATAAATAAGCTTTCATTGATATTTTATATATTATTTATATATATACATATTGGTCTTAACTTTTATGTTCTTTTAGCTTCTAAAATCGACCTTCCAAAATTTCTAATATATATCCTATGTAACCTATTATGCTTTGAATTCTAAATACTCAAAATTTCATTAAAAATAAAAAATTATTCATTAATATTTCATTAAAAAATAAAAAAGTATTCAAATATGTATGTATTGAAGGCGTTCAAATACTAAATTAAATGTAGATATATTATATGATTAATATATATATTTTAGGAATATTTATTATTATATATATATTATATAATATATATTATTATATATATTATTAATATTTATTTTATGAATATAAACGAATAATTTTATTTAAATTATGTATATTTAAATTATGCTTGTATAATATAAAATTTGAATAAAAATTATTTTTTATAATATTTTATGTGATTTCTTATGATTTCAAATAATTAATAAATAAATCAGTCTATTGCGAATGATTTTTGTAATCTAAAATCTAATGTGCACTAGTGTGCGGCTTTGCTATCTAATTCATTAACGAAAGTCGACAATGCAATAATTACATTTGGTACTGCCATATTAAAATATAAATTCGCTGCGAATTTTAAATAACACAAGGCGTCTAATAAGTTGAAACTATTTCTATTTCGTTTAGTACGCCCATAATGCAAGGTTATAATTGATAACAAAATAAAAATAGGTAATATGATATGCATAAATTATTCATGATGTTTTCTTATATATTATGATATAGTTATGATCATTTCTTTTGACAAAAATAAACTTAAAGACATGTTAAAAGTTTTAAAATAGGGAATATTTAAAATAGATTAAGTTCAGGTTTTCATGCATTTAAAATTTTATTTATTATTAAAAAATTGAAAAAATTGAAAAAAATGTAAAAGTTTAGAAATTTACAATATAATAAAATAATAATTCAAATCAATTATTATTAAATATTAATCTTAAAATAATCAAAAAAATATTTTTTTTTATTTTATAGAAAAATTTTGAAAAATAAAAAAATAATAGTAATGGGCTTTTCATAAACACCTTGTATATCATATATATCTTATCATATATATTTTATTTTAAGGTAGAAAAATATATCCATATATTTAATATTATTGTTTTCCTTTAGTATTTGAATTATAAAAGATATTTTATACAATTAAATATTGCCGACATTATTCATAAATAATTTTAATTTTCCTAATATATAGTGGATAAAAAGTGTTCATACAGTAATTAATTTCAACAAAAATGCTGCAAATATTTATTAACTCCGTTTATTAATATAATTCTAACAATTAAATAATATGTTTTATGTTCTTGGACATGTATAGAATAATTTATTAAAAAATTGCAATATTTATATCTATTATTATTTTATACATATTATATTAACATTTTGTACATACTATTTTATTTGTAAACATTAATAAATTTTTTTCATTTTTTAATGATCAAATTATAATATTTATTACAGATACATTTTTATTACTTTTTATTGTAAATTAATTATATATTTATTATAAATTAATATCGCAATTATTTTTGTAAAATTATTATATAGACTTTTGAGAATATATTTGTTGAACATTTATTATTTATTTGAAATTATATTAATAAATGAAATTTTACAATGTTTTTGTTGAAATTTATTATTATACACACAAATTTTTTACATTTACTGTAAAAATGATAATTTTTTATAGGAAGATAAGTGCAATTTCGAAACTCTTCAATGTGCTTTATTACAGGCAATAAAATGATGGACGAGCAAAAATGTGATTTTGTGAAATAGAGTCACCATGCGCCACATTCAGTGGAAATTTCAGAAGCAGTTTCAGAAGCAGAAATAACACTTACCAGAGAGGTACACGTCCAATGCTATAAGTGATACAAAATGTCATATGAAATACAATTGCATTAAAATAACTAAAATATTATCCTGAATTGAGAAATTAATTTCATGAATTATTTAAAGGATGTATTCGAAAAAACAGATAAATGCAAAATAAATATTTCGATTTACAAATAGAAACGATTTACATTGTTATTAGAATTAACATTATATTGTATAGAAAAGGAAGAACATTATTTACATAGAATCATATGAAACGATCGAAATCATAAAAATTTCTTTTTAAATAATAAGTAATTCTAACAATAAGTTTCTATTAATATAAGTTTCTATAAATTCTAACATTATAATTCTAATATTATATTATTCTTATAAAGTTAGAAATTATATCTAAATTTCTTCAAATTTTTTTATAAAAAACATATATATAATTTAATATAACTTCTTCATTGCAAAACATAAAATCTAATTTTATATATATTATATATAAAATAAAATTTTATTATTATTAATTATTGATTTTATTTCTTCAAAATAAATGTAAAATAAAAGAAAATATATAATAAAAATAGACAATATATATATAAAATATAATATACAATAAATCAATCATAATAAAAAACGATTCTTTCTAGTAAAAGTAAAATAAAATACACATGATCTTTCTAATTATTAAGTATAGAATATTTAATAAATAATAAAAAATAGTATCGTTGAAATAAGGATAGAAAGATACAATTATTTCTTTCTACAAAAAAAAAAAGAGGAAGATTATAGGCGTAAGAAAACACGTAAGAATACCGAGACAAAGCACTCATGCGTAAGAAAGTGAAAAATACCTTTATTACAATCAACATTCAATAGCGATACCGTGAAACGAAATAGAGATAATTTTTCTTCTTCTATTTTAAAATACAAATACCAGTACAAATTAGTTTCTTAATTATATTTGAGACACGCGTTCAATACGGATATCAGTCGTTATTTTAATGTAATATTATAGAAATGATTAGACTCAATACATTTTAGTATTTTCTAAGTTGGATACTATTTTCTTCGAACGAACAAATGATGAAATATCGTATTTTCGTATAAGACAATATATTCGATAATATAATTATTGGAAAATGAAAATCTTTCAGATCGATCGACATGCGCACTTTTTTTATGATATGTACGACAACGTATGGATATAAACACTTAAACACGTCAGGAATACTCGAACGAACCTTCGATGACTCTGACGAAAGCTGGTTATCACTACTCCAGCCTTGCTGGAAACCTGATCGTGCTGGAAGTTGCCTTGTTGGGAAGACATTTCGATTTCTTGAATCGATCGTCTGCTCGCCCAATAATTCTGTAAAAATGAAATAATATATTGAATATTTAATTTTATTTCAATCCATAGCATTGTATCGATAATTCAAGTATTCGAAAATATATTGTTACTGAAATTATTTACATTTTCATATAAAAAGTTTAATTATATGTTATGTTCTTTATAATTAGATTAAAAATATATAATTAGATTAAAAACGATAATTTTAAAAATTTATCGTTACAAAAACTTTTTGTTAGGAATAGTATAAAAAAAAAAATATATTATAAATTTTTTAAAGATGTTTTTATGCTTTATTGTGCAATAAGTTTTAATTTTTGAATTATATGAAAATATTTTTCAAGCTATACATTATATAGTCTAGTGTTCACGCTATATAATATGTTAGGCAATTGCATTTTTATATAAGTTTTTTACCAATTCAATGAAAGCATCATTTAAATCATTTTTCAATAATTTTTTATTTAATTTTATTAGTTAGGTTATATATATAGCATATTCCGTTTTTGTTGCAGAAATAATCTATTTCATTATTTTAATGATACTGAAAAAGATTATATTTGTACTTTTGCAAAAATTAATTCATTATTTATTTATAATTCATATAAAATTAAAAAATTCTAATTATATTATATTTTTAATTATATTAATTTATTTAAATATGTTTTTTTATTGTTATAAACATTCTATTCTGCATGATAAATTATTTAAACGTATATAAATTTTTATACGCAAAATCAAAATACGCTTATTTTTATATTATTTTATATCATTTTTATAAAGAATCTCATAAATGTTTCTTATTATAATTATAAGTGAAGTATTATTATTGAAAATCATTGCAACATAGATATTCATTTTGTGGCAAGAAATGATAAAATACTTTGTTTCGTACTAAATTGCAAATTTTTTTGCGAAAAAAAAAACAAAACATAATATTTTAAATTACATTGAAGACAAATGTATTTTATTTCATAAGATAAAATGCTTTTCATAAAATATTATAAAGTATTATAAAATGGAACATAAATATCACAAACATTTAAAGAATCTAATATAAATCTTATAATTATATCGTTTAAGTCAATATAATATGTGAAAAATTTTGTGAAAATTAATTTATTATTTAAAATTATTCAAATCAAAAAAGAAAAATTTTCAAAAAATTCATTCAACTAATCCTATAAACAAACTTTGTTATATATTTAGAATTTTATCTGAATAATAAAATAAATTAGAAAGTACATAAAAAAAATCAAATAAATAAAAACAAATTCAAAAACTTTCATAAAGAATTTCGAACTGGATACAAAGCAAATTATAAATGTATAAAATAATCATTAAATTTATTTAGACATGCAGAATTTAAATTTGTAAAGATCTTAGCTATTAAATTTTAAATAAATAAAATAGAACATTTTCAATTTATTATTTTAAAAATATTAAATGTATGTTATGATATTTAAGAAAAAAATATGAAAAAATACTAAATATTTCAAATGTAGAAAAAAGAAACATAAGATACTTAAAACACTCATAAAATATTCAAAACAAGAGAAAATATTCAATAAAAATTATTACATATATTTCTTTAGAAGATTAAAAAAAACATTTTAAATTTATTTAATATGTAATTACATTTACATATCAAACAATTACAATCAATCGCTATTTTAATTATGAACAAATATATTAAAATTTTCACATTAAATAAATAATTGATTATCACTTCAAAAAGAAATATAAATAATTATATATAATTAAGAATATTTAATAAAAAAATTTAAAAAATAAAATATTTCATACCTACAATACCTTAAATATATATATAATGTTAAATACAAATTTAACAATTTAAATGTATAAATATAAATTTGTAATAAAATTTATTTTAACATACTCCAGTTATTGTAGAAATTGAGCTACTCCTTACAGTAGCTGCAGGTGCAGAAGCAATCGATGCTCTATGTTCACTTTGATGTTTTTGTTGACTCTGTAGACTTTGTTGAATTTGTTTAGGAGATTGAGGTTGCATTGATGAAATACTAGTTTCAATTTCTTTTGCTGTTTGTTTTTCTTTTTCTTGTTTGCTTATTTCAATTTTGATTATTTCAGCATCTTTTTCTTTTGGTGCTGGAACAGTACTTGCTTGTACTTTCTCTTTTATTTGTTTTGATGTTTCAGGTTCAGAGTGCTCGTAGGTAAATTGTTCATCTAAAAACATTATTATACACTTGTGAAATATAAATTCAATGGTCAATCTAATAATGTATTATAAACAACAAATTAACGTAATTATATATTATATGTATACGAGATGATTCACATTGTTTGCTATTTTTAGGAACTATAAAAAATCTCTTATACTTATTGAAATATAAAAAAAAAATTAAGTTGATATTTACCATAGTTTTTAAAAAAATGTTTTACATGCCACTTTATGATCATTCTGTACATATCATTAAGAAACCATGTATCGGAAAATATTTGAATTTTTCCAGCAAGTCTTAAGATTTATCAATAATCATGATAAAAGTTATAACTTTAAATTACAATTTAAATATAACAATCTGTGTTTTATTTAAATTTTATATTAATTTAAATTTTCTAAATACGGAATACTTTACAAATTTTGAATTTTTAATGGAACACTTTGATTATTTTGTAGAATAAGCAAATATAAATAATAAATAAAATAAATGTATATAAATTTAAATATTGGTCTTAATAATAAAATAAGTCATGTTTGAATTCAAACATGTTTGAATTTATCAGTTTACTTATTCATTTTCAGATTAATTTTAATTATTTTTCACAAAAGACATTCATTCTTCATGGAGTATCTTATAGAAAAAGATACCAATTTCAAAGATTGCTCAGTTATAATTTCAAGATATTATTATATATAGATACTTTCGTGACTTGCAATTAACATTTATATTTTGTTAATATAAATATATTGATGATATAAAAAACAAAAATTATCTATATTTGTGACATTAATAAGCGAACTTTCTATTTCTTAAATATGTCTGCGAAAGCATTTAACAAACAAATCTAAGTTTGAATTCAAAAGTTAAATCTTCATTTTTATGTTATTTATCTGATTCTTTATTTAATTTTAGTTTAAATAGGAAATATTTCATGATGATTCGTATTTGATTACATAAAACAGACCTAACCAAACTTTCTTTCTCGCCATTGCTTCACGATTCCTACTGCCAATAAGTCATTATTTTATGTTCCATATGTGATTATAAATATATGTATATAATTATATAACATCTCGCTCTATCCTTCTTCAACATTATAAGGAATAGTGGAATGGTAGAAAAAGAGTTATATTCAATTCACTTCAGACGTATTGCAAATAAATATCGTGATCATCATTTTTTTAATTCTATTGTGCGCATTTTCCAGTGACAAAAAATTTAATTTTATTAAAATATGTTTATATATTAATTCATCATCTGCAAACTTGAGAATTCACTGCATGAATCAGGCATCGACAAACTACAAGAGCCAGAATGAAAATAACGAGTAAACTGAGATAGTAGCATTCACTACGATTAGAATATTGAAATTTGTCTTAAGTATAAGAATTCGAAATCAGATTTCGATTAGTAATCTGCATCTGTATCAAAAATGACAAAATCCATTGAAGACACGTTGAAACTCATACTTGAAAAGTTAATCAAACTTGAGGAAAGTATAATAAAAAACTCTGAAGAAATTAAATATCTAGCTCAAAAACTAGAAAAGCAATCTATTGCCAAAGATGATTCTACTAGTATGATTACAGAAGCAATTAATAACAATTGTATCAAACTATTGGAAAACCCTAAGAAAACAGAAATAGAAGCGATCGTCAATCAAAGCACATCACAAAACGTTCATTCAGAGTTTGAGAACCATCAACTACATATTGATGAGTCAGAAACCGTTAATAGTTTGCATCAGAATAATACAATTTCAAATACGGCAGAGAACAGTAAAAGAGAATTAAAGAATAGAAAACAAGAAAACAAAACAAAATCATATAATTTGATCGATGTTGAACAAACAGCCAAATATAAGTTATGGAAAAAAAAAGTATCCAAAATAACAGTTGAAAAACCAATTGTAGATCAACTGGTAAAAATATCAACATCTGAAGCAGAAAATACGGAGGAAGATTCATTTGATGATGTACCTTTAGAACAAAGATTAAAAATAAAATGTGATAAATGTGGTAAAGTGGGACATATAAAGAACAAATGTGAAAAATTTAAGATTTAGTAAACATAACAAAAGAAATATTTAAGCGAAAAAACAACAAACAAAACAAAAAAAATTAATGTCCTGAAACGAAATAATGCAACAAAAAGAGAAATCATCCGATTTTAGAATTACAGTATATCAAATACCAAATACAAAGAATAGCAAGAAAAAGAAACTTATTTCTTAATGTAAAAATAAATAAAATAAAAAAATCATTAATAAAAACGAGCAATTAATTAACTAATAAACAGATTAAAATATTTTACATGGACAGTGATATCAAAACAGTCTAATTAATAAAAATATCGTTCATTTGATACTTTCTTCATAATAGAAAGTGAAATAATTGACTTATCTAAAAAATAATTGTAATTAACTTTCTTTAAAAATATTAACATAAAAATTTAACAAAAAAAATATATATTTGAAAAAAAATATCTCATTCCATTGAAATGACAACAAACAGAGAAACAATAAGATTTTAAAGAATAAATTCTGTGAACATAAAGAATAAATTCTTGACTATAATAAGATATTTATATTAAAAATAAATGCATCAAACGATAGATCATATCATCTCAAGAAAAATATCTATATTGTTATATTTCACGAATCTTTAATGATGTCGAGAAAAACTATATAATAGAAAAAAAATTATTTGTAATAGTTTGGACAACCAAAAGACAATATTTGTTAGAATAAAAATTTATAAATCAAAATGGCTAAAAATAGTAATATATTCATACATGGCAGTTGCATGCTTACATTAAAAAAGTATTGTTCGCATTTATTGCTCAGATACGACTGACTTAATGATAACCAGCATCATTCTAATTCGAGAAAATCTATAACAAATATATGCTCATCAATCTCTGATTATCAATATTTTTAATAATATCTTTCTGATCATTAGCTCAAGAAAAATTTCCTCTAATTTGGAATTGTCACAATTCAACCACAAAAATATTATTGGTTATTATCATACCCCTCCAGGAAACCGAAAAGGGATTTTTTGAGGACACGAGCGTCACTATGGAAAGAGTTTAATTAGCACTTGTTACGAATACGTTGTACTCTGTCCGCAACCATTAATTTCTTTATAACTACGCATTGTGATCGTCTATCACATTGAGATGAGTGAGAGATCCAATTCTGATATATCGTATCGTATCTGTAATACAATTCACTTATTGTTAAGAAAATATATCATAGTCACAAGCAACTTCTACATACATAAATATATATCTCAGTTGAAAAATTTCAACACGCATATACAGACATCTAACGATCCATCAACTTTCGCAGGCGCGAATAAATATTTTTGCTATATAATATATAAAATATCATATAATAATACTATTATATAATATTACTACTTTTCTTTATAAGAAAATAAGAAAAGTTATTCAAAATATTAATTTATAATAAAATTATAATTAATTTATAATAAAAATCATCAAAATCGAAGACATTTACTTTCTAAATAATAAAAAAAATTATCATTTTTATAATTATATATATCCATAAAAAGCTTGTATCCGGAAAATCTGTGGAATGCCCAAATTTTTTTATAGATAGATATTTACATATTTTTGTTTATCATTAAAAATATTATAAGATTTAATTCGCATTAAACACGAAATAAATAATGATATTTCGAATTTATAGCAATATTGATTAGTATATAAATAAGATTTGCCAGAAATATTTAACATTTTCCGATATTCGAGATAATAGATAATAATAGATTAGATTATAAATTTTTAACACATTAATATATTTAAATATTAATATATTTTTTATTAATTATTAATTAATATTATCTGTTATCGATAAATGACTTCTAATTTTTATTGTTAATTATAAGAAAGTTTTTTATTAATTATTAGAAAAAAATAATTTTGTATTATTAATAGATTTATATATATGATATATACTATATTAGTGAATAATCACTATAATATCATGAAAGAAGATAAATGCACATAAAATAATAAATTGAACAATATAGAATAATATTTTTTCGTATGCAATTTTATTTCCAAATAATTCAATAATTAAATATTCATAGAATACATTTAACTGCACTGTAAATTATTTTTTTGTTATATGTACCTATATATGATACATTTTTATATTTTGTAAATTTATATTTTTTCTTATATATACGTATGTATAATACATAACTTTACGAATATCTTGTTTCGATTTGTTATTATTTTTAAGTTAAACTTTCAGATTTTACTTTTGCTATCGATATGGCAACATACAATAATCGAGAATATGTTGATATTCGTATGTTAAGCGCGTGTACCAGAAACACATCTATTTAATTATTTCATTATTATAGAGATCAAAATCGTTAATATTCGGAAAGAAGAATGATTCGAAAAACGAAGTAAATATTTAGAGAACATGGGTCTTTCTTTCATAAATACAGCATTTGTTTTTAATTGAAAAAAATTAAAGGATCAAATTTTGCAAATAGAAAAAATTCTAAAATTAAACAATTTATTTTTAGAAAATATACAAGTATACAAATTGTTTCTCGTTTCTCGTTTATTACGTTGTCATATCGACAGAAGATAAAGATTGAAAGTTTGACTTAGAAATAATAAATTATGATATTTATATATACAAACGCAAGAAACTTATAGTATAATTAAATGTACTCTATATTATCAAATCTTTGATATTATTATTAATAATTATTAATAAGTTAGTTAATAATAACTTAATAAAGTTTCATATGAAAAAATATGATTTTAGATTTTTAATTTATTTTGATAATTATTCAACATAAGAAATTCTCATTGATTTTAATAATTTTTGGATATGTTATAGAAATCAATATTTTGAATAATTTTTTTTCTTTATATCGCTGCTCAACTTTAGTTTTCAAGATAATTATAAAAAAATAGATTATTACTATTATATATTTATATAGAATTTTTCTCATATATCACGTACATATTCATAGTTGTGTATGTATAAACATATACATATGTGATTGTCATTTATTTTTTATTAATTTAGCAACATAGCAACAGCAATTAAAACGTATGAATATTAATCAAAAATCTACTTCCACATGAATTATGATGGACTCAAAATACTTCAAATCCAATACTTGAATATTATATTTCACAATAGCTATCATTTTACAATAGATAATAATAGATAAATGGCTAATTGTAAGTTTATACATTTGCAATCATGGATGCATATAAGAGAAATTCTATATAATAATGGCAATCTTTTTTTATAAATATCTCGAAAATTAAGACGACAATATGTAAAGAAAAAAATTCATATTCGAAATCTTGTTCTCTAACATGTTCAAAAATCGGCAAAAATCCTAATTCCGAATAATTATTTTCTTCATATAAATAAATAAATATATTTACTTCACTTTCTACCAGTGAAATTTTTTAATAAGACTGCCTGTGTGCTTTTTGAGACATGCATTTATTCTTCTAACATCGCATAATAAGTGATTTGAATATTTAAAATCGTGATTCTATTATACAAATAAGAAAAGTCTATTAAAATTAATAACTATAAGAATAATTATTTTTACTTATAAAATCATCTTAAAAGTCAAGACTGAAAGATAAAATATTTTCAAAATTATTAATTGTCTTAATATAATATTATATAATATATATATAATATCTAATTTATTTGTATGCACACTATTATTTTCTTACTATTGAAAATGCTTCATTTTGACATGCATTGAATTAATATGATAAAATCAAAAATATGTATAATCAGAATAGACGATCTTTTCCTATAAAATTTTTTTCCAGCAATATTGAATAGTACTTTCAATATTCGCTTGTATATGTAAATCTAAAAAAAACTATATAACAATTGTTACCCTTTTTGGGGGATCCGTTGCTACAGGTGTATCTGTTTCTTCTGAGGCACCACGTGAATAAGTACCCTCTTGTGGACTTCGATCTGATCCAGAACCTGATCCGGAACCCGTTGATCCAACTAACGTAACGGAGCTAAGATTACTTGGAGAGGAAGGTGCACTTATTACTGTATTATCTGTAATATAATTATATATTTTTAATATCTATATATTTTTATATTATGTAATATTTCATTAATCATATTATGAAATATTTGTTATAATAAATATTGAATAAATTGAAATAATAAATTAGAAAAATGTCTTTTATAAAAAATAATGTGATCTAAAAGATGCATTTATGATACAAGTATTTCATTAAAATTAATACTTATATAATTAATATTTATATAAAAATTAATTTCTTCTGAAAGAAATTTTATAAGAGAAAAAAATCAATTTTATAATTTTTATTAATTAATTTTTTACAAAAAAATTATTCGATTTACAGTTATTTTATGGTTTCTATAATTTCTTAAGATGATTTAGCGACAAAAAAGTGAAAAATTTCTTACCTGTCAGAGTTTCAGAACTTGATGAAACCGCAATTACTTTTGGTATTGTTAAATGACAACCATCATCTTCTTCTTTTTTGTCCACGCGAATGCTAATCTTCCGTGGTGTAGCGGGAGATTGAGAATCAATGGATGCAGAAGACGATTGTATAGTAGGACTTCGTTTTATAATCGGAGGAGCTTCCGAAATTAAACCTAACTGTTGCTCTTCATCTACTAAAATAGGCATTTATAATTATTACTAATAATACAAAATAATATAAATCATAGAATAATTTTAAATATATTTATTTATTTAATAATATAAACTAATATTTAATAATATCGATTAATTTAATAATCAAAAAATTATTAATTACGAAATATTTGAATAATCGTATATGCGATTATTAGATTTAATAATCTTTTTCTTTAATGATTTAATTAAGAGATAAATTTATAATACAATTTAAATTATATGTTGTTAAAAAATAAATCACTTCAGTAAAATATAAAATATAATAATATTTCTGAAATTATTTTTAGAAAGAAATATTCTTGCATCATACAAAAATTATAATCTATGTAGAAATATATTAGAATTAAATATTAGAAATATATAAAAAAAGACACTTCTAATAATTTAATTCAAATATCAAATTTCATAAATAAAAAATTTTTTCTAGAAATATTTAATTTATTGTAAAATAAATTTTAAATTTTAATTCCTTCATATTTAGTATCATATTAAATTAAGTATTGATAATTATTTATTATTGCAATGTATATATAAACTAATACTACATTTTATATTTTAATTAAAAAATGTACCTTTTTTGTATCCACTTCGCCAATATCCCTTTGAATTAAGGGTATATCCAGAGTAATCATAGGAACTTCTTATTTCACGACTATCACTTATTTCAGATCCATATCCTATATATCATAAAAAATATGTTAATAGCTACACTATGTATAGATATTAGAAATATAGTATAAATATTATTCAATAATTATTCATTAAATATGGATATTAATGATTAAATAAGATTATAAATTAAAAAATATTATACCAGAAACTGAACTATCTCCACTAATTCTTCGTGGTGAAAAGCTACTTCTTCTTCTATCATCTACATGCAATGTAGAATCTGTTGTAGTTACTCCCAATACATCTAGAGATCTAGACATATAATTATATGTAGTTATAAATGTATGAAAATTAGAAAAAATAATGTTTAAATTATATTTTACATCTTTATACAATTACAATTTTTTTTATATTTGCACAAAGAATTATTCTAACATATAAAAATAATATATGTATTAATTTATCATTTATTCTAATATATATTAATATAAATTAATTTATATTTTTTTTGAATAATATTTAATATACTCAACTTTAATATAGAATAATTTTATGATTTTTTGTTATCAGCAGTATATTTTTAAATAACTTTTTATTTAATTACATATAATCTGAAGTCAGCTCTAGTATCCAAGATATATTCGCAAAAAGTTTTTGGTATTAAATATGATTAAAAAGTTCATGTCATTTAATTTTCTTATTCTGCTTATTTCGTTTCTCGTGTAAGAAATATTCGATTATAAAAATATTTTTTGAATTCATTGATATATTTATTCCTAATATCTATGGCAATTTTTAATTATATCGATTTTATGGTCCTTCGAATCTGTTAAATATCTAAACTAGATAAATGGCTAAAATAGTAATATTTGTATACTTATTATATCATGTTTATATAAATACACGATCACATATTATCGCTATTATGAATGCATGCTTATAACTAAAATTTAAATGTAACAATAATATTTTTGAAAATAATTCAAAAACTAAGACTATCTGCGGATTACGTATTAAGAAAAAAATTGTTCAGAATTATTAATAACATATTTATTAAATATTATAAAATAATTTCATATTAATATATCAAATATATTATTCTTTTATATCAAAATTCAAGTATACATTTATTAAATAATTGAATTGAATTTAAAAAAAAATTAATAAAATTTATTTAATGTTATTATTTTTTCAATATCAGAAGATCGTCTTAAAAATAAATATAGATAAATAATAAATTGAACTTACACTAAAGAACCAGTAGGCATCTCAGAATCTGGTGGTTCGGCTTCATAAAAGACTTTTTTCAGAGCTTCGAGCACAGTGACACCATCGGTAAATACTCGATACGTTAACAAAAATGTATTGAGAAAATCAATGCTGAGAAATCTTAAATCTGTTAGTCGTTGAAGTAGACGCTCAGGAGTGGCTGATCGAATTTGCGGGACCTTACAAGAATTTAAAGTTCTACTGAATCTGATGTCTACATCATCTTTGAACAATTTAGGATCATTCCGGATGGATTGAGGCATCGTGACGGAACTAGTATCCGACAACGAGCCCCGAAGCAAATCATTGAAATGAACGTTATCCATGCACTGACTGATATCGCTGATCCACGCAGCTTTTTCCTGTAATTATAAATTTAAATTTTTAGATTAATTTTGAAATGATCATATTATTACAATTGATTTAATTGATTTCAGTGTCGTTTTAAAATTATATAAAATATTAATTTTCTTTATGAATATATATTGTTAGATATATTGTTCATGGCACACTTTTAGAGAGTTGATTCTAAAAAGCAAAACGAATACAAAAATATATAGAAATATCAATTGATATTTATTAAAACAATTGAAGTTCGTACGTATTAAATGAAGCAAAACAGAGATTAAACAAACTTGATGTAACGGAAACAAAGCGATCTCACACTATTTTCATTTCGTTTTGTTTAATGCATTTTGGTGTCTAGAATCTATTTTATAAAAATGTTCCATAAATATATTAATACTTTGTATATATACAGCTTCAAAAAATATTTATCTCTTAAAAAATTTTTTTTAAATTTAATGATTTTTATTTTTTTTTTTAGAAATTAAAAGAATTAGTTTATTAAATGATTTATAAAAAAATTGATAAAAAATTTTTTGAAAATCATGAAAAAAATAGTGAAATAATGAAAATTAAAAATATAAATGATCTTTTAAATTTATAGATTTATGTACTTATTTTATTAGACTTATATATATATTAAAAATTTCATCGAAATTTATATTCATAACGAGCTATAAATAAAAAGATAAAGATAATGAAAAAGTTTTTCATGACTTTCACGACGGTTTAAAAATCTAAAAATTTTATTATTTTTCAATACTGCTTGCTTCTGCATCAATCAATTTGAATGAAATTTTCATCCTATATATATTTAACAAAAATATATTATTCACAAAATATATATTTCAAATTTTCATTAAAAAAAAAAGTTGAAAAAAATATTTTTATTATTTTCTTCAAGATTTTGACAAACTACAATTTTTTTTATATATCATCTAATAATCTGTCTAACTTCTCAAAAAACTCAAGTCCAATTTTAAAAAAGTTATTGTGCCTTAAAAGTATTTTTTAAAATCATTTCATGTTACGTATATATGAAATTTAATTTCAAATGAAATTTTTATTTTATGTATATTATTTTTCTTTAAAAAATGTTGAAGGATTAACTTTTCATATACTCTTATTCATATATCTATATAAATTATTCATATATTTAAAAGCAATTATTAAAAATAAATAATGTAGATAATTATAGATAAATTGGTAATAAATATAATAGGTAATAATAGATAATACCTGAATAGTAGGAGCTACGAGATGTACTATAACTTGAGTTCCACCAGATTTCAAATCGAGTATAATTTTGAAGTCACGATTCTGTACTTGACTACTGGCAGTTCCGCTACCACTACCGCTGCTCTCACTGATACCGCTGGACATCGAACATACTGACAGTTCTAAAATCAGTTTGTATTCATAGGAATATTATATTAATTATATGTAAAGTTAACACACTTTTGCACAAGACAGCTCATCCACTGCTTGGAATGTCGTTGCAGTCCCAAAGCTGAAGAAGCTTGAAGCGTTGCAAATAAATGTAAAGAAATTAGAAATAGAAAAAGCAGTTTATGGGAAAGCTAACTTATTTAAAGAAAAAAATAAAAAATTTAAAGTATATAAAAGTATATAAAAGTATATTAAAGTGAATTTATGATAATTTTTATAAAAAAAAGAAGAAAAATAAAAAATACATAATATTATAATTAAATAATATGTTCTTAAAGAAAATAAGATAAAGATATATAAATAAAATTACTTTTTAATTTGATAACATTGTAAAGATAAATATTTAAAACTATGTTTTTCTTACTGATTTCAATGAATTTAAAATATGTTGTTAAAATCATTTTAAATAACTCTTTCCTATATATTATTCCTTTACTATTCGACTTTTGTTAGCTCCAACCTGTTCCTGGAGTTATGAAATATAGTAATAAAAATGATTATTATGAAGTTCGTTATTGACAAGTTTAGCAAGAAGATCAAAGACAAAGTCCAAAGCTAATGACGGTCCACATTATCACTAAACTTACAAATTTGGAAAAAGTTTTAAGTTCAAAAAGTTCTAACATTCTTGTGCTTTGATAGTTCTTGTTATTTCTAGTGCCTTTCTAATTCGAACCGTTCTGGTTCTAATTCTATTCTTCTTGAAGTTATATCCTTTGTTAGTTTTTAAGATCTCCCAAAGACTCTGAAATCCCTTCTATGTTCATCTCGTCTTGCGGGTCTTCAGTGAGGTATACAAGTGTCCAATAACGCTATGAACTAATCCCTATGAACTGATTAAGCAACATCTCCAATCCAAAGAAGCTCCCTAATAAGTCTGAAGGGCTATGCCACTTACAGGTCTGTTGTTTTCCCAGGAAGCAGTTCCATACGTGCAATAATTCTTTTCAGGTAAGATGTGTCGTCTCAGGTTCCAAGATTATATTGACACTCCAACCGTACCGAATTGTTTCTAGATATGTAAAACGAATTGTTACCAAAATTTTCTCTCAAAAATGCATTGTCTTTGCAGCGTCCTGTGCTATTTGTTAGTATCTAGATACTATTTGTTCAGTGTTTGAACAATTTTAGTTTTCAAGTCAAATTCATTCGGTTTTATTTTATTTTTAAAAAATTTTTAATAAACTTAGTTTTATAATTGATAATATATAATATATTTCGCCTCTTGTTATAATGTTATGTTATTATTTAAATTTTTTATATATAATTCTTTTTTATAAGAATGTTAAAATTTTTATTTAGAATTCAGAATTTACGAATTTATTCATAATGAATAGATGTGCATAATAATTCGCAATCTAATGAAATTATATGAATTTTTAAATATATATATATATATAATCAAAATAAAAAGTGTGAAAAAACAATATCATTTTAAATTCAGTACATTCTTTAAGTACATTCTTTAAGTACATATTTTAAACGTTTACATTAATCTAATCTATAATTAATTTTTAATATATCCATTAATTTTTTTATTATTTAAATTAAGTTATAAGAATATAGTCACTATTATACAATAAACCAATCAAGTCTAATCTAATGTATAATTAGTCAATTATCATTCAATCATATTTCTCTTTATTATGTTTAGATTATATAAAAAAATTTGACTTGATAAATTTTTATGATCTATATAGGAATCGTTGTTAGGCATTCATGATAAATATATTCAAAGTAAGTTCAAAAAGTTTTTTTACAAAATCTCAAAAAAATTAAAGTTATATATACATTAAAAGCATACATTAAAATCGTTATTTAGTAATAAATTTAGTAATAAATAGGAAAAGTTATTTAAAATGATATCATATTTTAAAATTATTGAAATCGATAAGAAAGCTATATTTTCGAATGATTAAATATAAGATTGTAAGTATTAAAAAAAAAAATTACATTAGAAATTAAAATTATGCTATATTTTGAATAATAAATATAATATTCGAAAAAATTTAAAACTCTTAAAAAGATTGAAAATTAAATTCTAATCGATAATTAAAAATTAATTAAATAAATATTTTTCAAAATAATATGAATAATAAATATATAACTAAAATCAAGAAAATTTCAAGATTTTTAAAGAACTTGAAAATTAAAATAATCGACAACTAAATAAATATTAAAATAAATCTTTCTTAAAATTTTCAAAAAATACTTTCCAAGAGACTTAATTATATAATAATTTAAGCATTACTGAATAAATATATTGCCATTAGAAACTGCTAGAATGTTTTAAAAAATTTATATTTACTTATATAACATTATACGATCTACTATAAATAAAATATATAATATAATTATAGTGTAAAAAATTAAGCAGAGCATAGAATCGCATGATGAAGTTTTAAAAAGCTTTAATTAAAGAATAATAATATTTTTAATACCGTCATCATCCGCAGTACCCTGGTCATTAGGATCCTCCACTAACACCGCATCGGAAAGAGGTATTTTTCCGATTTGTGGAACAAGATTCAAACGACCATCATCGTCTGATTGACGAGTCGTCAATAACAAATGATTAGAAAAAAGGAAGCATTGTCTAATTACTTCCTTATCTCCACTTTTCCCTCCGAAAGTTGCGCTCAATCTACTTCGCGCTCCTTTTGGCTTATCTAAAATTTGGATGAGTGTACCTAAAAAAAGTAACGATATATTATAATATATAAAAAAAAAATGTGATGCTTTTATAGAATATAATATTTAATTAATATAAATTAATATTAAAAATTTGAAATATTGAAACTTGATTTGAAAAAATTTATTAATTTTAAGAGTTATAAACAATTTTATTTATAAATTTAAGTTTGTCTTAAATATGGAAACAGAATAAAACGGAATTCTGATGAAGATATACATTCTGTCTATATTCACTTTGTTTTATCTATCTACAAACTTCAATTTTTTATATTTTAATAAATAAATCTCAACCAATATTTTTATATCAATTTTTGTGTTTCAATTTTTAGAATGAATCTCTAAAGTTTCCATGAATATATCAACAACTTTGTGAAGAATTAATTTTATAGAAAGTAAAAATAAATGTATCACAAGTACTTTAACTATTCACTCAAAATTCTATGTGAAAGTTTATAATTAATTAAAATTTAAAAAATAAAAATAGTATCAATTGCGAAAAGAAACAAATATAAATATAATTTTAAATATAAAAAAAATTATATTTTAATTATTACATTTTTTTATTCTGTTTATGTCTACATAAAATTGGTATAAGTGTAATAATAATAAAAAATATTAAAATTACACATATACAAAGATATACCTGATATCCTTGATTCCTAACTTGATACGCAACTATTTGTATATTTTTTAGTCCTTTTTTTTTTTGACGCATATATAAATATAATAAAGCATTTGACACATATATAAATGTTGTCATACAAAAATCTATGTGATCACATTTTTAAGATATGCTGAATTATTCATCAATCAACTCGTATATAATTGTATTTATTTGTTCCTTCTCTTAATCCTACGTAACAATCTCTAATGTTTTTCAACCAAAAGTTTTTAAAACTATCTTCTTTAATATTGTTAAGCGTTATAAACATAGAAAATCCATAATTTCGATAATAAAAATACCATGAAAATAACTAATCACAGATGGGGTTTTTCTGTATACTATACTTAAAGGTGAAAGAACGTTTGCGTAGTAGCCATGTGATACGATTACAAACACGAGGAATCAGGGCCGTGTTAACAAACTGAGTTTAATATCCATAATCTTTTCTATTATTTTGTACAAGTTAAAATTTAAAGATATCAAAAATTTATATTCTACAATATAAATAATTTGCATTATTATCTTTTTATAAATATAATATTATATATGTAAATATGTAAATGTATAATTTACATTTTTATTCAATTCAAAATCTAGAATTCTCTGATTGAAAATCATGTTACATTTTAAAACAGATTTTATATTTGTATCTTATTAAATAAAATCCTTAAAATAAATCTAAAAGTAAAATATTTTTTAATATTCTAAAAATATTTTTTACATATTTTCAACATTTTATGACAGTCCTGATAATAATTATGGCGCATGATCAAACAATTTCAGCGTAGAAATACACACAATCCCATCGATTCTCAAATACTAAGCGCGCTTGCGCCACTGACCACGAATTTTCACTTTTTATGATTTTTCCTATGAAATTTTCAATACACTATTCAAATATTATTAACTCAACTAAGATTTTTATTAAGGTAGTGAAAAATTTTTTATCGATTTTCTTGATACAAATAAGATAAAAAAGAGGCAAAAAATGGAAATATTAAAATTTTTATATTCTGATGAAAGAAAAAATAAATTTAATTAAATATTTGAATATATTGATAGTCGAAAGAATGAAAAAAATAATGATATTAATAATGAATTATAATTAATAAAAGCAACTATTTCTGATTAATGAAATATGTAATATATAATAAAAAAAAGAGAAAATAAATTCTCTTTGTTTTCTTCGTTAATCATTGTTATATATTTCAAATACTTTATTATATTGCGTTATAATAATAATAATAATTTTGCTCATTTTTTATTCGTTTCAATTTTTCTTATTCATTTTATAACTTTATTCATTATTTATTAAGTTAACATTTAAGAAAAAAATAATTTTACTTACCCTGTCTAACGAATACTTGATTGACATCAAGTAAAATATCGCATCCTTCTACAATCATTCGTTCAACAGCCAAATTTTTTCGTAAATTTTCTGTTTCGCTAACCTGAAATAGTGAAGAATGAATATATAATAATAATAATGACAAATAAATTATATAAATATAATAGTTAATATAATTAATATAATTAAATATAATAATTATAATATTTAGCTATACATAACAATTAGTTTTATATATAATATTGAAGAATTATTTAAAATTATTATTTTTAAATATATATAATTGATACCTCGTCATGCATTTGTCTTGACAAATCTTCCAATTGTTGTCTCGCATTTTGTAAACTTTTTCGTTCAACATGATCATAGGGAGTGTGCGCCAATAGTTCATGCAATGTAATGATATATCTTGGAATCTGAAAGTAAACAAGAAATTAAATCTAATGTTTCTTTAAAATTAATTTGAAATTAATATTTGAGCTGTAGAAAGGATTCAATTTGATTCTTTTGAAAAAGTATAAAATATTATTTTCCTATAACAATTTTAAAACATTTTTCACACTATTTTTCACTATGTGTTTTATGGAAAAATAGTCAATACAATTTTTAAGTATATATATATCGATTTATAAAGTAACGAAACAATTCAGCCATTAATAATAAACATTAACCCTTAGCATTTTTTTCACATTATAGTAAAAATAAAACTTTTTTTATGCATAATTATAATTTAAAACCATTATAACAAATATTATTAAATACCGATATATTATATTTGTTATAGCAAAAATGTTTTTTATAAAAAATAGATATTAATAAGATATATATTATATGTATAACTGATATATAGTATTCGCACAAGCATTTAAAATTAATATTGCAATTATAAGTTTTAGAAATTGAATAACATACTTGATGCATAGGATATGTTAAAAATGTCTCTAGAGATCGTCCTCCACAAGCAGTCTTATTCTCCAATCTAGTGAGCAATGCAGCGAATGAAGGTGATTGCTTGCATTCAGTTAATACTTGAAGACTGTAATGATGATTTCTGACATATTCTTGATAAATTGCCAACATGGGTAATAACATGTCAAACAAATCGCCTAAAATCATAAATACAAATAACAATAATCACTGATATATCATCTATTATTATATTAATAAATGTTCTAATAATAAATTTTGAAATACTGTTAACATGAAAAATCAATATATTATTTGTACTTTTATTAAAAGATTGTGTATGAAATTATTTTATTTCTATCAATATCAAAATATGATTTTATATACTCTGAATAGATTCTAAAATAGATTAAATTAATAATAAAATTATTAAAAATGTAGAAATATAGAAAATAAAAATTTACTAAAATGTTATTTGAATTGAAATGTTTAATAAAAATTTTAGTGAAACATAAACAGCATAAATAATGGAAATAGCAATTCTATGAAAAATATCTACTTAAAATAGATTTTACAAATAAAAAACATACCTAAAACTAAAGTGGGCCAGCTCTCCATACGTGAAGTAAGACCCTTCAGGAAAATCTGATGAAGGAACAACACTGTTTCGCTATTCAAAAATATGCTATTCACATCTTCATGACTACAAGGGGGTTTCTTTGAACTGGCAGCCATCTTAAAAGGTCTCAAGAAACAGCTTACTAATATTTCCATTTGTTCTGTGTATTCTTCTTCAGCTTCCACCATTTGAAATACTAAACTGAAATAGGAAACAATAATATAAATATCTCAAAAACCAAAATTTATCATTAAAATATAGATAAAAATTTTTCTAAAAATTTTTTTTATAATATTTTTATAATAATTTAATTATTTTTTATATTAACATATCATATTTACATATAAGAATTTATAAAAATAGGTGATAATTGTAAAAATAAGAATATATAATATAAGACATAATGAAATAACGATAATAAATACTGTAAAGATAAATATTGTAGATCACTCGAATTTTTTAACTCATACAATACAAGATCATAAATCATTTTAATTATATATACTGCCAGTTATATATAACAAAATATTTTTTGATGAAAAAATTTATAAAAGAAAATACTATAATATTTCAAAGTAATAAATAAAAATGAATAAAATACAAGTATTTTGATAAATAATTGATAAAATAATATATTAACATTTATTATTTATAATAATTTAATTTGTCTGACTAAAAAATACTCAAGTATATTAATTTTGTTTTGGTTCTAATTAATTATGAGAATTATTAACGCATTTTCAAGTAAAAAACAATGTAATTAATAAATCGAATTTTCATTTAAACCTAATGAGTTTTCGTTTCAAAGATTTATTATTTTTATTATGTTTGGAAGAATAGAGAATTTACGAAGAAGTTTGTTTTTACCAAAATTATTATTGTATTTTTTATATTGTTTTCGTAAATCATAACAATATATTTTTAATTATATATATTATTAAATATATATTTAATTATATATATTAATTATATATATAATTATATATATAGTTATTTATATTACATTAATATATCATGCTAAATAAATATATTTTTATTATTAATTTTTGAATACTATCTTTGAAATTGTTCTTTAAAATATGTAGATATTTGTATTTATCGAATATTCCATCAATAAATACTAAATTTCTTGTACTATTAACTGTCATACAATGCCACACCACTATGACTGAACCACTATGTTTTATTGTTGGGCATACATTGTTCATCTAAGTTCAATTCTGTATTTCGTATTTCTTATCCATACATAATTTCGTCCATTCGAGTTAAAAATGTTGAACTTAGATTCATCAGAAAATATCAGTTTTTCCCAAAAAGCATTATCTTTTGTTACAAATATTTTTGCAAAAGTCAATCTTTTCTTTTGATTTTTTTTATTAATGTACGGCTTTCTTCTTGGTATTCTATCATAAAAATTATTATTTCGTAAGACTTGTCAACATCGTCAACATCTTTGTCAAACATTTCTGAAAGTGATCATATTTGAAAGTGTAGGTATAGATGTAGGTATAATAGCATTTTTTTTTTACTTCACAGATAATAACTTCTTCCTCTCTTTCAGTTAATTTTCTTCGTAGAACTGAACTTCGTAGAACTGAGCTTTATTTATAACTATTTCTTCATTTTTTTGATTTTTTTATGATGTAATGTATTGTAGATTTACTTCTGTTTATGATTTTTTTGCTATCTCATTATATGATTTTCCATCCTTATGCAATCGAAGAATAGTTTTTTATTCACATTTTTCTATTTCGTATTCATTTTGAATATTTTACTGCAGAGTTTTATTTTAGTGTTAATAGAACGACAGCTTGATATCAACTGAACGTGAAAATGTTCTCACTTAATATCTGTGTTTATATTTCTGGTTGAAGTGTACAAAAACTATCAAGAACGTATCAGCGTTCGAATACCTTTGTGCTAACATACTAACGGTGCGTGTTTACAATATAATATAATATATCTATTATACATATTGATGAATCATTTTCAGTTTTGTTGACATAATCTTGAGATTTTCTTCGTACTACGCCTCACGTTATCTTAAATACGTGCTATTAACATATATATTTCGTTCATCAAAGATTTTAAATGTAAGTGTTCAAATATTTTCATTATCCATTATATATAAAATAAGATTACTAATTAAACTTTAGTTATCGTAATTTTGCTAGTCCAAGATTGCTTCATATTTTATTCTTTGACAGATGCAAAAAATAATATTATATCATATTCATATAATTGAGAAGTGAGTCATATATTGACATACATATTATCACGAATATATATGTATAAATAATATTTAATAATATATTAAATACAATAGTTTATTAGAAATAACTGAAAAATTAAACTCAACCGCCGATTATAATTAAAATAAGCTTTACAGCATATTTCAATATTTCATAGCTAATAAGTATATTCACAATTCATATTTCTCAAAAACATATATGTATGTATATGGCATTCAATATTATTTAAATAACATATAAATGAATAAATAATTAGAATATAAAATAAAGAAAGAATATTAGAATAAACTAATAATATTACTAATAATATTAATATTAAAAGGATTGTATACATTGAAACAACAAATTGAAAGATTCAATATACCACTTTCAGTTTTTCCATTAATTTAAACCTATCATTTAATATATGTATCGCAATATGTCTCGAAATATAGATTTTTAAATACAAGTATGATGTTATTTAAATAACAAAAAAGAGAAAAAAAAGAAAGATATAGAATATATAGATATATATCATATTATATAATTGTAGATCTATTTATGTATCACAATAAATGTTATTTTTTTTTGCAAATGATCAAAAAATATATATTACAAATATATATAAAAATATTCAAAATGAAATTTTAATATTTTTTTTTCAGGAGAATTATTGAGATAATTTTTTTTTTGAAATTTTTTACGATATTTATGATAAAATACAAAAAAATTAATATTGAATTTCAAAGTCAAGATCATTTTGCACTTTTATTTAAATTTATATAAATTTCATATAGATTATATAGATTTTTTTTATTATAGATTTTCATTGATGCAGAGATAGAATCACATTTTAATATTCTTTAGATTTACTTTTTATACATATATCTTTTTATATGTAAGATATTTATATTCATGAAATATGTTAAAGAATAAAATAAATAAAATTATTAAAAAATGTCATTTAAGATTTACTAAAGCTTATTTATTTTTATAAGCAATTAAAATTTGTATTAGACAAAGAGAGAGAAATCACTTTATCTCCATTATATCGCTATCACATTTTGTTTTTCGCTTCTATTGTTTATCGCATCTAATATGAATTTAAACTATTTGTTGAATAAATAACTTTTAACATTTTTAAACAAACATTTTGTATTTGTTTTGATTTTTAAAATTAATCTTCCAATAATATCTCACGAATATATTAACATTATATATAAAATACAAAGTTTTCCATTATTTTTATTATCTTATAATTTATCGCAATAATTATAGAATTAAATTATCATTATTATTAATTTATCATATTTTAATAAATTTATCATATAATCAAAAAATATCATATAACAAATTTAGATTAGATTAAAGATCGAAAAAACAGATGATGTAATTCTTACCTGTTTCGTTTACGCATGCTTTCTGCATGGGGGCTTTTAATATACTGTTCAACGATTTGCTTCCACCGCCTACGACACAGCCATCCTCTGAAAAAGCTCTGAACCTTTTTAATTTTCTGCATTTCGATCGAGCCTTCGGTAATATCTCGTAATCCAAACACTGTAACTCCTGAACCTTGTCCTCCGGAACCAAAAGGAGATCCCGACATGTATAAACTGCCAGTGCCATGGGACATAGTTCTTTGAAATCCCGGTCTACACGTTGAAGTTACAGGCCTTAACTCCTTCTTCAGGGCACACAACTATAAATCATTGAAATTCATATATTAAAGATTAATTATGTTATTAATACGTTTCTTTTACAAATTTTTTATATTAAATATTTACTTATAGTTATTATAAACCTTATTTTAAAAAAAACGTTCAATTAATTTTGTCAATAATTTTATTTTTTGCAATAAAAATTGAAACATAAATAATAATACAAATAGAACGATAGAATTATTATTATTGGTCATCAATCTTTATTAAGTCTAAACAAAGGATGATACTATATGAGAAAACTGCCATTTTTGAGAAAAATTTAATCGATATTTATAATTATATTTTTAACATGCTTCATTAAAGCGGAACCCAATCCCAAAAATAACATATTTCAGACACGGCTGATTCAACGGCAATCACCATCAGTTCTAGTTCGAGGAAATTTATAATAAATATACGCTGATCAATCCCTGATTATCAGCATCCTAATATCTTTGTGTATTGATCACAGTTCAATTCGAGGAATTTTCCTCCCAATTTGGAGATGATTACAAGAACATTGACTACGATATTATTGATTACTATCATGCTTCACTGGGAAATCGTAATCCTCCCAATTGAGCTAGGAAAGGATTTTCTGAGAGCACAAGTTTCTCTTGGTAGAGAATTAATTAATAATTAATTAATATTTGTTGTGAACATACCGTATTCTGACTGTCGAATACGATAAGTTTTTTTGTAACACATCGTGTACATCTCGTAAACATCGGATTCGATCATCTATTATAGTATTGTAAAGAATATTTAATTAATTTTTCGTTGTAAATATGTCGTATTCTGATCGATCATCTAAACTTGACATTATGAGAGATTCAGTTTTCATATAGATACGTGTACCACACTTGTAATATAATCCACTTATCGTTAAGAAAATACAAATCGTCACACACAAATATATCATTTTCTACGATGTCTGTCGAAGAACATTCTACACATATCTATAGGCATTCATCACTAACACTATTATAGGCTCTAACAGATATCTAAGAGACATCGATGAAATAGATATGGCATCACTTTCTATTATTTGTTCTATTATTATTTTCAAATAATAAAAAAGTTTTATATAAATGTAAATTTGTAAAATCTTTCTCATTGCAAAAATTTATTGTTCATATTTTTTGTTTTCGTATATTATAATTATTTTCGACAAATATAATTTATTTGAAAAACAAATTTTTTATATCTTATATACAATTATTTTAATTATTATTAAGTTAATTATTTAGTCAATTATTATTAAGTTAATAAATTAATTTATTTATTTCATGTAAAACCGAAATGAAAGCATAAAATTTTCATTATGATATGAATTCATAAATTCTTCTTCATCGAAACAATTTCAAAATTAAAAATTTTAATAAAAGTTTTTCAATTTTTCGTAATTAATATAAATTTTTATATATTTCAAATAATTTAATAATAATTATATTAATAAAAAATGAAAGATCAAGCTACAGATAATATTTTTAATTATTAATCAAATTAATTATTACCTATTTATTATTTTTTTATTATTTTATTAATTAAATTTATGTTTATTGTATTTGCAGTGTCAATACATTATCATGTATTATAGATTATATGAACAGTATACTCAAATAAACTCAATACTTCCAATTCTAAATTAAATCTACTATATCAAAATCAAAATTACATCAAACTATTTTATAACTTACTTCTGTTCGAAGTTTCTTATTTCTGACGCAAGTTCCTCGCATTGCTGTGTGTATTGCCATTTAGCTGTCTTCTCGCTCTCGACAATTTGCAACAAATGTAAGTGTTTCTGCTCGAGCTCCTCTTTTTGTAATAGCAATTTGTTGAAACTGCAATCAATAATCAAATAGATATCTATATCTTTATTCATGCATATTTAATTGTATTGTGATTCCAGTCAAATATAAAATTTTAATACAACTTTGATCATTATGGTTTATTATATTCAATCAGAAAATCGTATATCAAATCACAAATAGAGAATTATATTTCTTTGTCTTTGTATTAATTCTTTTTATAATGTCTTTATTAATTTTATAAAATAAAATAATGGAATAAGAAATTTACAATTCGTAAAGATAATAAATGATTCTCATATACATTTCATATGTTGTAAAATATGCAACATGTCATTTTATCTTATCAAAATCACTGTCATGTGACTGTCATAAAATTGGAAAATTTTTTGATTTTAAAAATAAAATATATAATATACGATTCATACTTTTTTTCTTAATTAAGAAGAAATTCATTAAGAAGAAATATTATAATTTTAATTTATATAAAATTATATAACATTAATATAAATATACAAATTAATTAATTATAATATAAATATAAATCAATTTATATTTATTGTAATACTTATTGCATTACTTATTGTATTGCATAATACTTATTGTATTATAAGTAGTACAAAAATGAAATTAGTCATTACAATATTATCTGATGATTTTACAAATAGATTTAATGTTATTATAATAATCAATTCTAATTAAAAAAATTGCTATAATAATATATAATATTTATTAATCATATTTTTATAATAATATGTACAGAAACAATAATATACATTGAATATAAAGTCAATGTATGATTAAGTGCATATAAATCAAATAAATTTCTTGAAATTAATGTTCAAAAAACTTGAACAAAAAAAAAATATTTTGGATTTTCAAATTATTTTCACATATAATATCAATCTTTTGTACTATCTTATATATATAAAATATCTTATATATATAAAATAAAAAAAATTTATCAAGGAAATCAATTTATTAATATTGTTATTTTTTATATGATTTTTAATTTTTTAAATAATTAGTTTTAGAATTTTCAGAAGCAAATTTTCTGAATCTAGTCAATTATTTTGTTCCATTTAATTTATTTGAAATTTAAATTTTTAATAGATATATGCAAACAATTTCAATATTCAAGCTTACATTCATTACCAACTAAAATTAATCAATAACCGCCAGTGCTTTCATGCGATGTCAAAAGACGAATTCGATAACATAGTAGAAACATGTCATTTCCAAAATTAAAACATCATTATGTTATAGATGTTATGATATTAATAATTAGTAAACTGCGAATGTTTGTACACTTATGCAAAATTTAAATGTACAAAAATTTAAAAAATGATTATGAGAAATTTATAATATGCAAAAAACTAAAAATATTCAAAGTACAATACGAGATATGATATTTAAAAAATAAGATGATTTACGATATTTTTGAAGAATAAGGCAAATTTTTATTTAAATTCCATTTCTTTAACCGTATTTCATAAAAATTTTATTTTGTATAACATATAAGTAATTAAAGAAAACTTACATATAAATTAAATATAGATATTTTACAAATATTTATCTTAAGTAAAATAAATAAAATTTTAGTATTTTTATATTTCTATATTTTTTGGAATTATTAATTTTTACTTATTAATATTGTACAATATTTCTTAATATTTCTTTTCTAAAACGTGATTTTTATAAAATAAATGAATTCTATTAATTCCTTTTATTTGAAATAATGACTCCATTGCGATATTTATTAGCATTATTTACTAAAGACCCCTATATATGTTGAAACATGTTGCGATTCATTGCATCGATTCGAATTTTGAATTTAAATAAATATTTCAAACAATATTGAAAGTTGATAGGAAGATATTCTATTGAGAGTCATTGATTTAAATCCATCTTTTAAATCGATATCTTGTATCATAACATATTTTAACATCTGCAAAAAGAAATATATAACTACTACAGATTATCGTAAACGAATGCATGCCATTCTTCTTTATTAACAAAGATTTGATTGGTCTTCTATTTCTGATTTTTACGGATTGTTATTGACAATCTTTTATGATCAATCCAAACCAGTTATTGACAATTGCATTTTATGTGAAAATAGAATTTCAAATTATCTATATCTATAATAAGAAAATATACATAATATAAAATTTAATTGTTAATCGTGGTAGATATATATATCAAATGATATATAATAAATGATATATAATATCATAATATATTTTTTCGATATTAATAAATGTATCTTTATAAAAAATTACTTTAAAAAGTACTTATATATTAAACATAATATATAATATTTTCTTATAAAATATTAAGAAATTATTTAAAAATCATCGATTTATAAATTAAATGATAATTTAATAATTATTTAAAAAAAATATATCAAAAAAAAGGATTATAAGAAAAAAAGAAAACATTTTGTTCGAACAATTTCCAATGTTAGTGACACATATCAAAAACGATATGTTTAATACATATCTGAAAGCATTAGTAATGTCCATTACATAATTAAAGCCATACTAAAGGTATTGACGTAAGAAAAAAAAATAAATAAGCCAATTATGATTGGAATTTATCCTTCAGATACGAATATATATATATATAAAAATCATACAAAAATATGGAAAAACGAAAATAACTTAACTGTTCAATTTTGATTTAGCTTTATCAAAAAATAATTATACGAAAATAATTTAGCTATTCATTTTTAATTTAACTCAGTATAAAAAAGAATATTACGCAATAAATTATCGTTAATTATTTTTTTCATTGCTGTGTCAAGTATAATTTTTTTTAATATCTCTGAATAATTCGTTTCTATTTTTGGAATGAAATGTCCTTTCAAAAACATATTTAATGAACTTCTTTTTCGCAAATTCAGAATTTTTTCTAACATTTTCGAGTACATAATTCGTAATTTTATTTCTCCAACGAAATATTTTTTCAAAAATATATTTAATGAAGTTTATCCTTATATTTCAAATTAATTGTGAGATTTGATGCAGATACGAACAATATATTATATCAAATCATTATGATTTCATAACGATTATGCGATATTTTCATTAATAATGTTGTACTTTCATTAGCGAAATAGAATTCGTATATATAAAATAATATATTATAAATAATAAAATATTCATATATATTGAACCATTTAAATCTACTGTATCATATAAACGTCATTGCTGTGATTTCACACTGATACAATATATGTCTTATAAAAGTTATACATATAGTAATTACCTGGCTTCTCGTATAGCTTCGATCCACGTTTTACAATCAGACTCTGTAGTTGCTTTTAACTCATATTGCCGTTGATTTTCTCTTCTATAAGATATCGCGAAACAGTGCTGAAAAAAATTATAATAGAATAAAAATTTTAAACAAATCTCATATATAGATAATATATAAAATCTTGATTATATTTTAAAATTTATTGAAATGTTAAAACATTACATATTGTAATATCTTTTGTTTGAATAAATCAAAAATTTATTAATTAAATCAAAGAAAACGTTAAAAATTAAATCAAATTTTATTACAATTTTTTTATTTTATTTTAAAATTTTCTACAAGATTTTTGTTAAGTTGTTCTTATTATCCAATATTATGAGAAAAATAAAAAAAAAATAATAAGAAAAAGTATATAGTAAATAATGAATTATATACTTTCAAGAATAATACTTCGAAAATTAAGATAAAAATTTGTAAATTACTATTCAGAAAAACTTTTTTTTTTCAATTTTTGAATGTATAAAATCTTAGATTGGAGATTGTTTAAATTTGATAAGTAATAATATATTTATTTAATATAAATATCTGAAATAGACTTAATTATGATTTTACTTAATAGAAAAAAATCATTGTTACAAAAAAATATGAATTATTTCAAATAAGGATCTTTCTTTCAAACTCATAAATAATTTATGTAAATAATTATTATATATTTTATATAATATAATATAATATAATTATAATATATATATATATATATATATATATATATATATATTATACATATATTTATAAAATATATCTTATAA